ACACAGAATCACTGTATCAAAAAAGAAAGGGTTGGTGCTCAAATATAATCAAGAGCCAATGATACTGAAGGAAGGAGTTCCAAGGTACACTGAAGGCATTGGCAAAGAACAAGTCTCCAGGAATTGATGGAATATAAATTGAAATCCTTCAACAAACTAATGCAGCACTGGAGACACTCATCTATGCCAAGAAATTTGGAAGACAGTCACTTGGACAACTGACTGGAAGAGACACATATTTTTGTCCATTTCAAAAAGAGGTAGCCCAAAGAAATGCGGAAATCATCAGACAATATCATGAATATTGTATGAAACTAAAATTTTGCTAAGGATAATTCAAAAATGACTGCAACTGTACCTTGACAGGGAACTGCCAGAAGTTCAAGCTGGATTAAGATTAGGATGTGGAACAAATGTTATCATTGCTGAGTAAGATCTTGGTTGAAAGCAGAGAATACCACATTGCATGTTGACAATGTAAAGGCTTTTGATTGTATGGATCATGACAAACTATGGATAACATTGTGAAGAAAGAGTATTTCAGAACACTTATTTGTGCTCAATAAGAACTTTTACATTTATCAAGAGGCAGTCATTTGAACAGAACAAGGAGACATTTAATGGTTTAAAATCAGGTAAGGTATGTTCCATGGTTGTATTTTTTCACCATACTTATTCAATCTGTATGCTGTACAAGTAATCTGAGAGATAAGATTATATGAAGAAGGTGGCATTAGAATTGAAGGAAGACTCATTAACACCCTGCAATAGGCAGATGATACACCCTCACTTGCTGAGAGCAAAGAGAGCTGAAAATACTAATGAAGATCAAAGACCACAGCCTTCTGTATGCCTTCTACCACAATGGAAAGAAAACAAAAATCCTCACCGCTGCACTAATAAATATCATCTTGATAAATGGAGAAAAAATTGAAGTTTTCAAAGATTATTTTGCTTGAATCTACTATCAACAACACTCATTGAAAGAGCAGTCAAGAAGGCAAATGACATTCTGTCAGGCAAATCTGTTCAACAAGACCTCTTTCAAATGTTTAAGCAAAGCTGTCAGTTTGAGGACTAAGATGTGCCTGACCCAAGCCATGCTATTTTCAAGAGTCTCATATGCCTATGAAAGTTGGGCAGTGTATAAGGAAGACTGTAGAGGAATTGATTTGAGTTGCAGTGTTGGAGGAGAATATTAAAAGTTCCATGGACTACAAGATGAACAAGCAAATCTGTGTTGGAAGAAGTACAATGAGAATGCTTCTAAGAAGCCAGGATGGCAAAACTTCATCTCTCATAGTTCAGATATATTATTAGGATGGACCAGGCCCTGGAGAAAGACATCATGCTTGGTAAAGTGGAGTGTCAGCAAAAACGAAGGAAGACATCCAATGGAATGAGGTGGCATAATGACAGCAGCATAGAGCTCAAGAGTAGCAGCAATTGTGAGGATGGCACAGGATCTGGCAGTGTTTCCTCTGTTGTGCATAGGGTCACTATGAGTTGGAACCAGCTTGACAGCACCGAACAACATCACGGATAATGTTAAGTTTTAAACTTTGAGGTCCTAGAATACTGGATTCATATATGTGAAGTGAACTTTTCACATATTCAACCTCACTCTCAACTCATCTGTGCATCTATTATTTTTTAAACAATTATGATCAATGCAGATTCAAACACACCTGTAATAGAAGGCTTAGAAAAAACTTTTACCCAAATGGCCAATAACCTTCCCCTCTCCCCGACCAATGAGAAGACCCAGTACTGAGTTACTATACATTTGAAACAAAGATTTACAAACTTCTTTAAGAGAACACAGGTTATAGCCTCTACCAACTCTTCCATGACTCCTGAAAGAATTTAATGAAATCATTGTTTTTAATGTTTCTCCATCAGAACTTCATGGGATTCTGAAATTTGATTAGGGTCCCTGTTTCTTGCACCTTTTCCTCCCCATCTACACCCTCCCCAGAATTGCCCTTGTTCCCCAAATTACTCTTTTCTCCTAATCAAGCCTCTACCTAACTCTAACACTATTGTTTATCTACTTCACACCAGAGTATGAGTTGCTGATAAGTTGAAATATTGGGGTGGGAACTATTTGTATTTTAAAAGTAATATTTCTTGCTCAAATTCTAATAAAAGAACAAGTGTGATCCTTCTCTATGTAGGTAGTGCTGTGCCCCAATCACTCTGGGGGCCCCCAAGTTCTCCTGACCCCCTGCATTCCAGAAATCAGGGGTCAGCAACTGGGAGCTCCACTTGTAAAAGCTGTTGACCCCTGGGAAGGAGCTTGTATGGAAGCAAGTGTTAATTTTCAAAATGTGACTGGTCATGATAGCAGCGACCTCACCCCATCTCGACATCCCTCGGAATGTTTTCTAGTCAAGGGGCCTAGAAGTGATCTGTCATCACTAGTCAACAGTGCAAGCAGCTCATTCCTGTATCCTTGCCCCTCTCCCCAGGACCTGAAACAAAACATACCACCTCCACCCTCCCCCTCTCACATTAGAATTTCATGTGTTCAACAGTTGTGAGGGTCTTCACCTCCAAAGACATAGTCAGCACACCAACAAATTACATGTAAGATTTGATAAATGAATACCAGGTCCATTTCTCCCTGTCTTCTAATTGAAAGCTCCAGAATTTGTGTGTGGGTATGTGGATATTAATTCATAGAACGTTTATAAACACTTAAAATGATTATCCCCCAAGACCATAAAAGGGTTTAATAACACAGTTTAATATAATTTCTTAAGTACTTTTTAATAAAATACAGATATATAATTACAATATCAATGTATTATGTCATTTAATGCAATAAAAGACTTGTCTTTGAAATGGTATAGCAATGATTATTTACAGTAAAAACCTAAAGAAAAAAACATTTATACAATATTGCTAAATTTTACCCCAACATATTAATACAAAAATTATACTCATTATACTCATATTATTATGATATCTTCTCAACTTGCCAACAGCAAAAGCAAAATGCTTTCCTTATTAGTACATATGGGTATTAGTCAGTATTTCCCATGTTTTCTCGAGATGGAAAACGCTCTTGTTCTCTTTGAAAGATATTAAACATGAAGGTTGAGATGCACTCATGAGGATTCTTTCATTTTCGACATCTTTTTCCAAATCTTTGTCAAGCTACTAATACCATACATACATAAACACCTTACATAGATCTACCTCTTGCAAATGTTTCATTTCCCCTTGCTAATTATGAAAAATCAATATTAATTTGATTATCGTTTATCAAATCCATGAGGAAATTTGTCAGTATCAATAAATGTGATTTCTGCTCAAACAGCACATCCCCCCCTAACAGTTATGCGGTTTTAAAGTTAAAAAGCAAATTAGGAGCTGTACCCTTTTGCTAACCAAATGGGATGAGTTTAAGCAACACAGCTTAAAACAAACAAAGATCATACCCTTTTACTTAGCTTGGCAGATATATGAAATATAATGAGTCGATGGGCAGACACATTATTTTAGTTTTTCAACAGATGTATGGTGACATTCCTCATTCTTAGACTTTTCTATTCGTCTCATAATGTGCTACAGAAGTTCCTTGTTTTGAAATCTTAAAAAACATGAATACATAATTTTAGGGGTTTTAAATAAGTGAATGCTGTTTTTATTTATCCAGTTTTGAAGTTTAAAAATACTGTTGGGTTTTAATGTTTTATAGTTCTTTTATCATAATTAATATCTTCCTCCTTACTCTTCCAAGAGAGTCTTTATAATAATGGGCTCTGGCCTTTGCACCACAACCCCTAAAAGACAGATTGCTGCAGATAAACCTCTGAAATTCCTTACAGCGTTATTTAACACCATAAAGGCCTAGGATGTATCTGTTTTGGGAAGTCTCAGACAGAGGGGCAAGGTTAAGGAGGGGAGAGGTCTCAAGTTGTAGGAGTTATAAGACACAAATAGAAGCTTAAATGCCTTTTTCCTTACTTATAGATCATGGGTTAGCAACCTCAAAGCAAGATGGGGAAAAAATACCCTGAATGTAAAAACAAACTATTATAAAAACCTAAGAAATGGATGACAATATGATTCTTGATTTTAAAAAATAGATATTTCTCAATGGAATCAAAGGACTTGAAGTGAATTTACTTTCATTTTGCCATCCTCTCATGACATAGATCCCTTCCCTTTGGAAAGCTGGAATTTAGTAATGTTTACCTAGAACATTCTTTAATGTTCTACTTGATGAACTAAATTAAATAAGAAAAAAAAAAGCTTGGAAATTTATTCTCTACAAATGAGTAATTGCCTTTTATATACCCAGTTGAAAGTGAAAATAATCCTATGTATCTCTTTTGTTTTTCTTAAGAAAATAACAACAATTATTATGGGTTATGAATTTTTACCCACCCAAGAAAACATAATACCAGTGGTAAATAAGAACAAACATGAACACAAAAGCGTATCCTTCATACGTGTAAATACCTTAGATCTAATACCAAGAACTTTTACAAGCTTTTGCATGTAAGATTCTCACACTTAATATGGCCAAGAATAACAGAAATCACAAGACTTTGTGCTGGTTACTGCTAGTTATCAACATGGACGTATGAGACCATTTAAAGCATTTTTCTTATAAATTAAGTTATGAGTCTTAGCCTGGCTAGTTTCACAGCCAAGTTTTAAGTTTATCGTTTGATTTTTAAGAGTCTGAGAACCTTGGTTAAACATACTACATTTATGCCTGTACTCTGTGCAACTGGATGCACTACGGGGGAGAATAGAGGAAGGGTGTGGTTTTGTAGACTGCAAAATTCCACATGTTATTTATGTACAGTATAGACAATTAGAATCTCTCCATAAGAAAGTTAAAATACCGCAGTGAACCTTCATTTCCTATTATGACATGTACATTTTACAAGCTACAGATACTCTTTTCCATATTAAAAAAAGAAGAAGAAGAAAGAAAATACATTAGACAAATTCAAATGCAGTTTAACTTAAAGGCTCCATCAGACCATATGTGCAGACACTTGAGATGATGACAGAGTTAAGCTTCCTAGGGTCCTCGAGTCAAAGAAATTCTGCTGACCCCCACTGCTAAGCAAGTGCACTCCTTCCACAGGGGGTAACATCTGCCGATCGGTCATGGTTCCGCTCGGTGAGGACCCCAAGAAACTTCCTTGGGAAGAAACAATTTTCTCAGGACTGGCAGCCAGTTTGGGGGATGTGGAAAAGTTATATCCATATAAGGCACAGGGGCTGTGTAACCTGAATGTGTTATAGGAACCCTGGTGGGTCTGGTTAGTAGCAAAGGCATTGCTGGATGGTGAGGGCATGATATACTGGAGCTGGGGGGACATCCCCGAAATCTGCATGGACAAGCTGGTCTGTGGACAGCTGAAGGTGTCCCCATCACTGCCACCCATGGCCATGTTCACGGAGGCACTGCTGCTTACACCCACATAAGAAGGAGTCCTGGGTGGGGCAAAGGTCTCGCTCGTCTGGCTGGTGAGCCTGTTGTAGGTTTCAGCCAAGGATGTGCTGTACCGATTGAGGGTCAGGCTTGAGCGAGCACAGGTAGAGTAGTCAGCTGGGGCCAGACTACACAACTGGCTGGTATTGGGCCCCAGATGGAAGGCAGGAGAGGAGCAAGGGGAGCCAGACAGAAGATGAGGGTGGGTGGCAGGAACACCGCTCCCAGAACTCTGGAGTAAGGTGGAGGAACTTGTATTTCCTACAAAAAAAAAAAAAATATATATATATATATATATATATATATAAAGTTGAAATGTAAAGAGTTATCTATTGTTTCACCTTTGTAAACATACACTAAGACACAGCTTGTTACACGTGGGGACTAAAAAGAGGAAAAGGAGATAGTTTTGGCTGACAAAGAATTTAAGACGTAATTGAGTTCAGACTGAAATGTTTTAAACAAATCCTCTCAACTCATCATACTAGGAGATGAAGTACTTTTTATCATTGAAAATATTAGGACACTACCACAGAGAAGTTTCACCCTCAGTTTCATTGACTCTACAATAAATACTGACTTTACCAGCAACTTTAGAAAACGCAAGTTTTATCTTACTCCATACTTCATTCCTCAAGCATAACCATCATCTCTTTTGTACCATCTTTTACCTTTTTCCTCAGCAAAGCATGCTTTAGATCAACATACTTTCTTACAAGAAAACAGAAATAATTCAAAATAAAAAGTCGAACTGTTCAAAAGGTACACCCAGACTCAAACAATTCTGCGGTTTGCTACTGAACACTGACATGTGTGCTTTGGTAGGTCTTGGCTACTGTAACAAGACAATAGCCTGTTGTTGTTGTTGTTGTTAGGTGCCATGGAATCATAACAACCCATGTTCAACAGGACAGAACTCAGCCCCAGTCCTACACCATCCTTAGAATTATTGCTATGCTTGAGTCCATTGTTTCAGTCTACTTCTTCAAAAACCTCACTTACAATCAGAAAACACATGCTAACCCAAGAGCTTAGAAGTCCAACAAATTAACAGTCCTGTGAAACTTAGAGAGGGCAGCTAGCCCTGCATCCAATCCATAGCACTGAGGGTATCTTCTCTGGAGTTACTGGCAGTTTCATGTCTGTAGACTTGACAGAAATTAAGGGGGAAAGGAGGATTCCCAACAGCAGCAGGCTGTAAAGCCTCCAATGCTCTAGCAACAGTGTTTTACATAGCTTCTCAAAATAATCTGAAAGCCCAATCAGCCAATGATAAGCATCTAAAACCAGTTTGCTAGGTTCTCCCTCAAGAGCTGGTCAGGACCAAGAGTAAAACGCCTGATACAGGAGTAGCTGAAAGCCCTCTCTTCTGAGCAGGCTGGAGAGGAGGTATCATTCAGTTGCCAGAAGCTCCCTCTGAGGAAACACGTGCCTTAGGTTTGTGAGAAATATTCAAAGTTGGGTCCAGAGGAGTGTGCCTGACAGGAGCAGCCTGACAAGTGGCCCTTCTAAAGAAAGAGAAGCAAGAAAGGGTCAAGCGCAGCTAGCATCAGCAATTTCTTGTGAAGTGTCCTTATCACCAGAACCCACAAGCCCACCTCTAAATTTAGTAAGAGATTTAATGGTGAAGTAAAGGTCATGATGCTGTGGGTTAAGGCGCTGGACTGCAAAGTTGGTTTGAACTGCAAGGTCGGTGGTTCAAGCTCACCAGTCGCTCCTCAGAAAACGTATAAAGGGCCACTATGGGTTGGAACCGACTCAACGACACTTAACAACAACAGCAACCAAGGTTATGTAACACATTATTGTTGTTGTTAAGTGCCATCGAGTCCATTTGACTCATAACAACTCTGCATAAGGTTTCTGAAGTTGAAAATGTTATGAGAACAGAAAACCTCACCTTTCTCCTACATATAGTACATTAAGAAAGAGAAAACATGTTGCTATCAAGTTGACTTCTACTCAAGGTGACTCCATGTGTGTCAGAGTAGAACTGTTCTCTATAAAGTTTTCAGTGGCTGATTTGTGTCAAGGAGATTACCAGGCCTTTGTTCTGAGATAGCTTTGGATGGATTTGAACATCTAACTTTTTGGCTCGCAGCTGAGTGAATTAACTGCAGTATCTGGAGATTCTGATGCAATATCTAACAGTCTAAAACATCCAAGATTTAACCTATGACCTTGACAGTATTTTTTCCTGGAACTTCTATATGTCCACTGAGAAAACAGAAGGCTTCTGTAGCAGGAGAATGTTGGTGGTGAGGTTGTCATTATAGTGATAATACCAAATATTTTTTTCAGTGCCTAAGACCTGGTGGCAGAGTGTTTAAAGCATTCATCTAACTGAAATGTCTATAGCTCAAATCCCCAGATGGAAAGATATGGCAGTTGATTTCTGTAAAGATATATAGCCTTGGAAATCCAATGGGGTCATTCTATTTTGCCCTACAGAGTCATTATGAATCAGAACTAGCTTCTAGGCAGGAACAGTCTACAGATATGATCCAGAAGATTCTGTGATATACCTTGTTTGGGGATTCCGGGGATATCTTCAAAGGTAAGAGTCCGTAGTGAAGGTCGCCAGAATGCATATGACTCCACCAAGGCTTCCAATCCCATTCTAAATGGAAGGGCAGAAATGGAAATGGACAAGAGAAGTCTAGTTAGGAGCAGTTAAGAGTTTGATATCATTCATGGGTAATACATATCTCAGAAAAAAGCTCTGAATGTTTACAATACTCCCCACCCACTCAGACCAGCAGCCTTGTAGCCTGCCACAGGTAATGGACAGTACCGCTGACATGGACGACCATTCTGTCACCAGGAGCAGTAGAAACTTGAACCTACCCAAGATGTCCTGTTAATATCCTCAGAAACCTAAGCCAATCTTAGGGAATAAAATGCTGTCTGTCCTCTTTCTGCCAAGGAGCAGAAGTAAGGAGAATACATCCAAGCTGCTGTGAGTCCAAGGCTCTGCTGTGGTCGGGAATGCATCTACTCTCCCAGTATTTCACTGCTCCCTCTAATGAGGAAGGTTTTGCCACAAGGCTGCCCAGGTACAGCCCCCTTTTTTCTAAAAGGTACTCCTGCCCATAACCCCTCTGCCTTGGTATGCAATTCAGGGGAGTCTTCACCCTCCAAAACTGACTTCCATCTCAACAATCTCCACCACACTCAGTGCAGCCTGACTTGGTTATCCCTCCAATAACAGGTGGTCCAGCAGGGGGCAGTACTGGCTTCTCAGTCCACTGTGCAGGAGTCTAGCATGATGGCGATCGATGTACATGGTATATAGAGCTAGAATTCACATCACAAATAAAGCCTACATGGTGGTGTATAGAATTAGTATTAGCATAAGAAATGAAGCCCCTATATACACTTCCAGTCCTGTGGTGGCTCTGTGGGATAAGTACAAAACTGCTAATGCAAGGTTGGCAGTTCAAACCCACCAGCCACTCCTTGGAAACCCTATGCAGAGTAGCTATGAGTAGGAACCAACTTGACAGCACTTAAGAACAACAATGTATACTTAATGAGTTAATATTTAACAATACAGGAGAAGCTGATTATTGGTTAGTTACATGATTTGTACATATTATTAAAACCTTGAGCAGAAGGGCAACTAGCTACTTCTCTAGACGATTTTATCTACATAAACCACACCTATCCTGAGTGGTTCAGTCTTCCCCTTCTCTAGGTTTTCAGAATGAGGGCCTTTACTCAATTATCCCATTCTCAAGACAGCCATGCCTGAGACCTTACCACTCTTTCCTGAACCACTACCGTCTAGATAGTATTTTGCTTTTCATGAAACTTACAGCACCCTTGTAGGAAATGCCTGATTCCTAGACTGTCATATAATACTCAGCCATTTTCTTGTGATTGTTAAACACTTTATAAGGTATAACTTTAATAGCTTAGACCAAAGATGCTACTTGCCCCCCACCTGCATCCCCAGCTCATGACAAGATGTGAAACAACACTAGAGGAACCGTGCAAAAGAGCCATTCCACCAACACAACCTGCTGAAAACTCTCTAAGCTTCATGGTCAGGAATTGTATGGATAAAACCATCTCCCACAGCTTGCTCATTAGTTGCAAGGTTTTTTCACATATGAAAATCACTTCCTAAGGCCATTGGAATTTAGTCTCTCCCCACTGATTTGCTGATTTTTTTCATCATTCACAGTGACAGATGTGTGTGTGAGGAAGTGGGATGTGTGTGCATGAACACAGCAGCACATGTGTGTGCACATGGATCTAACTCATCTCTTACAGGGCAGGTTGTTGGGGGAAAATATGCTCTGAAAGCCCTTCAAGGAGATGGAACCAGACTGACACAAGTACCCATACTGGGCTGTCAAAGGGAAAAGTTAAGACAGAGTAGGTTTCCATGTTGTTTTACTGGAGTTAGGAAGCACAGAATCCAGCTCCAAATTTCATTAACATGCCACAAAGAGAGGATTGAGGATTGCTGACAAGTAGGGGGCCTGGACTGGTGTCAGAATTGGACCATGATTGCTACTCACTATATCCTTTCTTATTGTTTAGTGTTATTGAGTCAGTTCCAATGCAGTGACCATGTATAAGGTTTCCCAGGAGAAGTTAATTTCCTAACTTCTTTGGATTTAAGTTTTTTCATTAAGTGAAGATTGTTGTTGTTGTTGTTAAGTGCCGTCAAGTCAGTTCCAACACATAGTGACCCTGTATAGAGTTTCCAAGGACCAGCTGGTGAGCTTGAACCACCGACCTTGCAGTTCAAACTGACTTTGCATTCTGGTGCATTAACCCATAGCACAACACCAGGACTTCAAGTAAAATTGAAACTTCAAAATTTCTGAAGACATTTGTAGCTCTATATTGGTTATACTAAATGATTTCTCCCATATCAGATATCTCATCTGTGGCTAAACTATAGGACAAATCCAAGTCCACTCAGTAATAATCTTTGTAAACTGAAATATTGATTTCTGGGTAGTTTTGCAAGCCTGGTCAGTCCTAACATCCATTTGCCTGTAGGCTGCATTTTAAGTGTCGTGGAGTTAGGCTCGACTTACAGCGTCCTTGTAGAGGGTTTCTAAGGCTTTAAATCTTTGCAGGTCATGGAGTGTTTCTTAAGAGAAGTTTACTAGAGATACTTAGTGAATATCTATCTACTGGGCTTGGATTGATTAAGTATAAGAATGAAGATGACTGCATCATTTGCTTTAACCGTATTTGCTTTAATACAAAACCATTGACCCAGTTCTTAGAGAGAAGTTATTGATCATTGTAAACTTGGAGAACTACGCTTCAAAGCGCTGCTCTGATGGTAACATACCTACAAGCGATCAGATTTGGAGCTATTGGTATTTTTCTCCAGGCTGATGTTTCACACTGCAAGTTCCACAAAAGATTTCAGATATTTTGCAGGAAACAGTTATAAAATATTTATTAGCTGAATTGGGACCCTTTTTTTTTAAAAAAAAAAAAACAGCCTTGATTTTCCCCAGTAATGGAGACTTTTCCTGTCTAGTTAAAGAAAGATAAAAGGCACCTCCTGCAGGAGTGTAGCCAAGGCGATAATTTATCCAAGATGCCTTTGAACAATTTCCACATTTTACCACCATCCTCATTTATGCTATCAAATAGCCAAGTTTATTTAGTAAAATGGTTATATTTTTCCTGAAGTATTTAAGGAGAAGAAATTTTTGTACCTTCCTGAGTAAAAAATTTTATAGGGTCAAATCTAAGGCCTAACTGAAGAATGAAACTATTCTCAGCACATAAATTCTCTTTCACATAGCTAATGTCCTGCAGGAGAGCTTTTAAGGGCTGAAGCTACTGGTTCCTATAAAAATAGGCTGGGGAACCATAAATAGTCAAAAAGGGGATCATTTTTAATTAAAGTACATTGTTTTATACAGCTTAAACAATCACAATTCCATGTTTATCTTTTCCTGCTTAATGTCTTTATTCCACATGTGGAGGAAAAATAAAATGTGTCTTACAAAACAGTAACAATAGCACAATGGACCCCAGGCATAATGAAGAAATAGGCTGCACTTTTCCCCATAACTGCTTCTCAATTAATGCATGAAAAAAATATTCTCCTTAGCCTCAGCCTCCAGCACAACTGTGCCCTACACCAAGTCTTACATAGAACTTAGGCTCTTTTTATTTTTTTAAAAAATAAAGTTATAAATGTTTAAAATTGACCACATTCTCTGTATTCCATATAAGCATCATTTGCATTTATCAAAGAGAAATACTAAAATCAAACTTTTTTTAGAAACAAGGATTCTGACTTAGTATTCCAAAGTGATCACTGAATATTTTATTGATAATAAGCAGAGGAATAAAAAATGAAACAATGTCACAGTAAGAAGTCTATGGATAGGTTCAACATGCTTTTCCTAAGCTAAAAAACTCTTTACACATTTGAAGCAAAACAAAAATGTTTAATTCTACCGTAAGCCTTTTAAAGGTATTAAAACAGAATTGAGCTAGGGACTCTAGACCTAGAGAGGGAGAGGGGCTGTGTGTTGATGACCATGGGGAAGGCTTGCAGGTTTGCTGATGATGCATGGAGGGGACTGTAGCCATGGCAATGAAACACTATACGATAGGATGAATATAAAGCTAATGTTCTCCCATGTAAACTATCACATAATTCACAATAAAACATTAAAAAACAACAACACCAGAATTCATTATCTTCTACATGTCTATTCAAAAACTTTTGGTATAGTCCTGGTATGAAGCTGTAGGATAAGCAAGGGACTAGTAACCAAAAGTTTGGTGGTTCAAATGCACCAGCTGCTTCTTGGTAACCCTATACAGGGTCACTATGAGTCAGAACTGACTCAATGGCACACAATCAAAACAACATTTAAAAACTGTTGTTGTTGTTGTTAAGTGCCGCCAAGTGGGTTCCCATGCATAGTGACTCTGTACAGGGTTTCTGAGGAACAGTTGGTGGGTTTAAAATGCCGACTTTGTGGTTCGCAGTCCAGTGCTGATCATTAAAAAGCACTATGGATGTTTTGTCTACATATTCAGAAACAGTCAAAGGGAAATAAAAATAACATCAAAACTAGCATTTTGACTTCACCATACCAAACAGTAAGCTTAATGATTTTTTTTCTCCAAAGTCATTGGTTTTTGTCTTTGGCCAAATTTCAATAACAAAATTTCCTTTCATTGTGCTGACATATCTAAAATTCTTCCTGAAATATTTTTATACATCGACTGTCTCACTTCCCCTAGCAAAACAACACTTATAAAAAGTTCATTCCTTATTATCTACACAATGTATGCTCATACAAAATATTTTTATTACTTCAAAAATGAACTGAAAGTAAAGCAACACTCCCAAATGAATAAATACTATTCTGCTAAAGTCAAGATTGGAAGAATATTTCATTGAAGTATATGTTCAGTTAGAAAAGACGTCATCCTCATGTTACCCTTCAGTCACCCTCACTAGTGAGTGTTTCAGATTACTATGGCTTCATTCACACTCAATTTTCAAAAAAGCCTCCAAAAAGCAAGGTAAGCCAGAGCTAATAGAAAATAACAAAAGCCAAGCAATTTCCAGATGAAACAGATGTCTAGGATGAGATAGAATAATTTCGATTCAGCAGACAATTAGGATGCGTCAGGACTGCGTCCAAGGAGTGAAGAATTCCCAAGGGAAGCACTGCTCTGAGTCACTCTTGTGGACCTACCAGCACTAAATAGAAGACTACTCTAATGTCAACAGGTCATTGACATGTTCTCTTTTAATTCTCATAGTGCACAGTTGAACTGAAACAATGTCCTCAAATATGAAGATGGAACAAGTCTCTGAAAGCATTTGAGTGCATCCTGAGAAGAGTTCTGTCTACACTTACTAGTCCAAATGACCTAGCAGCCAGAACTAAGAATCTGAACTCCTATCTGATTGTTTCTCTTCAAAATTTAAAATGAAACTGTTTCTAAAATGAGACAAAATTAGTGATTTTGACTTCATGTAAACATAGCTCATTAATATTAAAGTTCAAGAACTATTGGAAAAACATCTGGATGAAAACACTGAAACAGTAAAAAAAAAAAATTGCTTAAACACTTCTTTTTAAAATTAAGATGCTTTTTTAAAACATTTAGCTCAAAGCCGTCTACCTCAAATAGGCATTTGGAGAACAATCATCTTTTACAGTTAATGGTTATTTTAGAAAAGGTTGCATTTTTGCATTGGAATAGAATCATATCAATATATTTCCTTCAAAAAATCTTGGCACATAGATTCGGTCTAGATCTGCTTTTTGATAAAAGTAATAGAGTGGAATTCATTACTGTAGCTCTCCCACTTAGTACAAACACCATAAAACAAGACACAGAAAAAATAAACAAGTGTGTGGCTGTCAGAGATGCCAAGACAAATTTGGAAATTAAAGATCACCAGCTCTCTTGGCAACGGGGTGTAGTTTCATATTCTAGTTGGAAATATGAGGAAACAAGAGACCCTATCATACTGAGAAGACAGAATCAATAGATAGTTGCGACATCACTAAGCACTTTCTAAACCAATAACAGATGCAGAAAGAATACTGACTAGGGATATTGAGGCCCCTGGGACTGCAGGGGTAGGTTTCCCCAAGCTTCCTTCAGAAGCAGCATAAATGCAAACTCTGAAAACTTTTATTTTCATCCCAGTATCACACATGGAGGTTCACCTTAAAGGATGGCCATATCAGTAGACCCAAAAGTAAGTTACCTCCAAGGCTCAATGATATTAACATATTGAAGTCTTCAGAAGAAATTAGTTTGACAACATTAACAAATTTAACTGCTTATTTTTAATAGAAAATTCACAATTACACATCAGATGCATTTGTCATAGTCAGAATGCTCTATACTAAGCCTTACCTGTTACGCCCGGAGTCTCGGAAACCTTTGGCAAAGGGATTTCTATCTATCTTTAGGCGAGTAATCTGCCGAGTAGGAAAAAAAAAAAAATACATCAATCTTATTTAAATGCCAAGTAAGGTTATGATGAATAGAATTGTTTACAGAAATACAGATTATTCCAAAAGTAATTATTAAAGGACTCTATTTCATCTCCATTTTCAATTCTCCAAGTATTTTAATACCCTAGAACAAAAGGTAAAAGAAAATTTCAAAAATCATTTAGAACATTTACCTGCTGTGGTAATGACACTTCCCAGCCCTGTTCAATCTCTGTTAATAGATACAACTTACTTTTCTTTTAATATCCCTGGAGTAGGAGATTTTTCTGGTGGTTATTTGCCCAATGTATGACAGTATACACTGAAATTTCTCCCTTTAGCTTGGTGATGTGGTTTAAATCTTTTGCAAAAAAATGGTGATGGTGTTGTTGTTACGTGCTTTCGAGTCAGTTCCAACTCAGAAACCCTGTACAGGGTTTCCGAGGAGCGGCTGGTGAGCTTGAACTGCTGACCTTGCAGTTGAGCACATTAATCCACATCATAGCCAACTTTTGTTTGACAGCCATTTACATACTTGAATGTTAAGTTCCCACTCAGTTTTCTGTTCTTCAGAAATGGGTAATACATACTCCTTTAAGTTTTTTCTCCCCCCTTTAATCATCTTTGTGCCTCTCCTCTGACAGTTTTATTTTTACACCTTTTATTTTTGGAGTCCTGACCTGCTCTGAGCTCAGTGGTGAATCTCTAACCAGAGATAACCACTACTTGAAGGTTCTAATGAGATTAAATCTTATACATATAGTGCAAATATACATAATTGGCTTCTTGCCCACTAAGACTACCAGATTTAGGGGCAAATGTGCACAGATAGTTTAATTATCTCCATTACTATTAATATTAGTTATCCATTTTGAACATGACACTAACAAACAATACCCCATCTGTTTCTAACCAGATCTCCACTTTGTCTAGTGGGATTTGTAACCTATTTTCTAAGAGGTACATCATGCTTGCTTTCTGCTTTCCTTGGCTTCATGAAATCTACAATGCTCATTAGAAATCTACAATGTTCATTAGAACATTCTTCTGACTGCACCATCTTGGCTGATGATGAAAACAGGAAGGCTGAGAAAGGCATCTTTGGAAAGTCATCTCTCTACAAGCTCCCTATATAGTTCTGTGCATGCTCTCAGCCATCCTCCTACCAGGTGTGCAATACCAGATATATATGTGCTCTATATACTTCTTAAGTATGTGAACAAAACTACATTATAAATGATGTAATAAAAGTGGGTGGTAATTAGCTCACCATGTTTGGCAGTATCAGTGAAAGAACCCTTCTTTGCAGATTTTTACAGCTCAGTTCTCTGATTATTTCAATACATTTTTAAATAGTATTTTTAAAAAAAGAATACAGATTTATATAATGATTCTTTGTCTAAATAAAGATATACCCAAATTATCGTAATTACTGTAATTTTTATTACTAGCATCTCATTTACTAAGTACATACTATGAATACTGTGTTAAGGATTTTATGTTTACTATCTCATTTAATTCTTACAACAACTTAGGCATAATTTAATTCTTACAACTCACACAATAGCTTAATAACAACATGTAGTAGTTACTACCTCAGTTTTACTTTTTTTAAATGAGGCTTAATTAAGATAGCACTATGATAAGAGGTGGAACTGGGCTAGGACTCCAAGCTTTAGAGTCCATGCTGTTAGCCAGGAGGTAAGATGGCCTAGCAATTCTATAAATTCTTAGAAATAGAAGCTAAGAAATTAAAATTAAAAGATTGCATTTATCATTATAAATTTCTGTTCTTCTAATTTTACCACCCTGTTCATCAGTTTGTCACTGTTTCCTAATTGGTGAGTTAGCTACCAATATTTACCAAAAGCTCACTGTATCTCTATCTCGCTTGCAGTACCACAGACACTCAATGAAAATACACACAGTTTGTCTCTGTGCATGAAAGAGAGAGAATTAATGACTATGGAATATGAATTGAAGTTGTAAGAAAGGTCCAGAGTCCTCTGCTCTTTTCTCCTCATGCGTTATTTTTTTTTCCCCTAAAAAACATCTATTTCTGCCCTGCTGGAAGACTCCAAGACTGGAGTCCTGGTGTGGTGCTATGGGATAATGTGCCTCACTGCAAAGTCAGTTTGAGTTGCAAGGTTAGGAGTTAAAACTCACCAGCCATTCCTTGGAAAAAGTGTCGCTATGGGTTGGAACCAACTCGACAGCACTTAATAACAACAACACTACATTTCATGGTCCTTTCTTAGTCCTGATGATTTCAAAAGCTCAAATACAAGTGTAGCAATTTATATGCACACCGATGTTCATGGCAGCAGTATTCTCAACAGCAGAAAGATGGGAACAGCCTAAACGCCCATCGATGGAAGAATTCATAAACAAACTTTGGTACATACACACACTGGAATACTATGCAATGGTGAAGAATAGCAATGAATCTGTGAAACCCCTCTTAACATGGATGAACCTGGAGGATATTATGCTAAGTGAAATTAGTCAATCACAAAAGGGCAGAGACCTTATTGTATTTATGAGACCACTATTGTAAAAATTCAAGAAAAGGTTTCATGCTAAACGAAACATTCTTTGATGGTTGTTACCAGGAGTGGAGGGAAGGAGAGTAATTCACTGGCTAAAGGGTAGACACATGTTAGCTGGGGTGATGGGAGGGCAATATACAAGAAGGGCAATGCACAAGAAGAAACAATGATTAAAAACAACTGAAAACATAGTGAGGTATGCAAGAGCTAAAGGGAATAGAGGTAAATAGTGCTATAGATACAATATTGGAACAACACTGTTCTGCAGACAGATGCATGGACAGATATACAGGCTGAATGGGTATGGGAGGAAGAGTGGGAGTACACTCACACATATATAAGGGTTTGAGAGAGGACATTTGTATATGGTGTTTACCTTTGCTGCAAACACAACTATGAAATGTGGTGAAGCAATACAGCAGGCAAACTGATGAAAGCTTATTAGATATTATCAAACATCTTAAGGCAATAAGTTGCTGGCCTTGGGGCTTAGGATTATATTTTCAGGGGACACCATGGTTAATTGGCATACCATATCCACAAAGACAATGCCCTACATCCTACTTTCATGATTAGTGTCTGGGATCTCAAAAACACATGACCGGCTATCTAAGGTGCAACTACTGGCCTCTCCATGTGTGGAAGAAAGAAGAGTGATGAAAATTTAAGGTTTTGGAATTAATGAGTCCAAGGGACTAATGGAACACGTGAACATCAGTCTCTCCACCCCTGAGACCAGAAGAACTATATGGTGCCCAGCTACCACTACAAACAGCAATAAAAGGGACCACATTGCGAGAGAAAATGTGAACTAAAACTCAATATTTTATTAAAACAAAACAAACACAAAACAGACTTACTGGTCAGAAAGAGGCAAGAGGAATCCAAGTCTATGGTCTCTACCACACTTCAGGTGTACAAAAGAACTCACCCTGTGGTCCAATTTTTAGTTAAGCAGTAGATAGGTATATAGGATGGGCAACACTAGGTCATCAGTTTGTCACTGTTTCCTAATTGGTGAGTTAGCTACCAACATGTACCAAAAGCTCACAGCAGCATCTATATCTCGCTTGCAGTATGCTCACTGAAAATACACACAAATAGTTTGTCTCTGTGTTCATCATGGAATGGTCAATCATTCAAAATCAAAAGGGCAACATTTACTTAAGCACCAACTTGAGAAGGGATGGAAAGATAGCTAGAATGGAAATAGGAACCACAGGGAGGAAGTGGGAGAACTGTTGTTGCATGGAGGAGACAGTAATCACTGAGAAGAAACAAAGTTTTGTTGCATATAAAACTGATGGTCTTGTCTGCAAAACGTCACTCTATTCACAAAAAAAGCATATTAACAATTTAAATGTGAGAGGTTAAGGCAGCTTCAGCTGTTGCCCTAGACTGATGTTGTCACACTGAATGAAAGCTGATGAGTCTCTCAGCCCTAAAGAGGAACCAAAGGACAGATCCAAGAAGCTTAAAGTAACAGAGCCACAACACAGATTATCATGTGTGTATAAAAGTAAAAAGAAGTATAAGTTCACTAACCACAGAAGTAAAAACTTTAAAAAAGAAAAAGAAAAATCTGCCACAGGCCATACCTCAATTGTTTGTTATAAAAATGGTCTGAGCTGCAAGCATTAAATAATTGCCTCCAATTCCATTCTCCACCTAACTGGCACATGTAGACACAACATTAAATAACTATATGTATTTACCTCTAAAATTATTCCTAATTTTATGAAAAAACAATTCCATTGCTAATTTCTCAGACTATAAGTATGTATATCGCCCTCTATTACAATCAAAGACTATCTAGAAAGAAGTAGCTATTTTTGGATAGATACTAACATGATTATACCAGATTAATGCGTCTGAAATATTTCCCATACTGCATGGACTGTGTAGTTTTAAAATAAAATGAGCTGAGAAATTATCCTTTCTGCACAATTCACATTTCTGCATTTTACATCTCTATTTATGAAGCAATAAAAAACATGCTCTTAAAGCTTAAATATCACATTATGGCTCAATATATCACAATGGAAAGTAAGTCTAAAAATGGAATGAAAGTCAGTCATGAGACACATTTTTTTTTTTTCCTAAAGAGTCTTTACCTTTCTTGGGGAATCATGGAGAAATAATTGTTATTACAATATGAGAGGTCTTCAAAAAGTTAATGGAAGACAGATATTACGAAAAAACTATGCATGGATTTTTGTGGGGTTTTTTTTGCACCTAACTGAACTCAAACTAACTTGTTAAAGTCCTGGTGTGGTGCTGTGAGTTAATGCGCCAGACTGCAAAACCATTTGAACTGCAAGGTCAGCAGTTCCAGCTCACCAGCGGTTCCTCACAAACCCTATACAGGGTCGCTATGGGTCAGAACCGACTCAACGGCACTTAACAACAACAACTTGTTAGAACCGTCCTGGTGTGGTGCTGTAGGATAAGCACTGGACTGCTAACCACAAGGTCAGCGGTTCAAACCCATCAGTCACTCCTCAGAAACACTATACAAGGTCACAATGAGTCAGAACTGACTCAATGACACTTAACAAAAATTGTTAAAACATGTCTGAACAAGATCAGGATTGAGGCTCTAAGAAACATTTGACATCGATTTGGAAAGAGCACCTATCAGAGTATCAGTACTTCTGCTAAAATTGAAGTAAGAACAAATATCAAATTTATGATGATGCTTGAGTAAAATCATTAATGCATTAGGAAAAACTTATGGATACAATGCTCCAAAGAAATCAGCAGTTTACAAATAGATAACTCATTTTAAGAATGGACAAGATGATGTTGAAGTTAAAGCCCACAGAGGTTGACCAAGCACACCACAATTAGCAACGAAAAAATTAATCTCACTTGTACTCTAACTGATAAGGACCAACAATTAACTGTATAAACAGCAGCAAATACCATAGATATCTCAGTTGGTTCTGCTTACACAATCCTGAAAGAAAAATTAAAGGTGACCAAATTTTCTGCTTGATGAGTGCCAAAACTGTTGTGCCTAGATCAACTTCAGACAAGAGCACAGCTTTAAATGCACGTTTTAAACAACTGGGATCAAGTGCTTCCGGATCATTTTCTGGAAGAATTAATTCTAAGAGGATATGAAACAAGTCTTAAATCAGTATGATACTTGCAGACAAAGCACACTCAAAGCAATGGTCACCCAGATGTGGAAATGGTCTAGTCAAAGCAAAAGTGGACCGGTAGGGACAAAAGGTCATAGTAACAGTTTTGGGGGCTTCTCAAGATATTTTGCTTGTTACTTTCTGGAAGGCCAAAGAACGACATCTGCTTATTATGAGGGTGTTTTGAGAAAGTTAGCCAAAGTGTTAGCAGAAAAATGCTCAGAAAATCTTCACCAGAGAATCTTTCTCCACCAAGACGATACTTCTGCTCATTCCTATTATCAAATGAGGCCAATTTTGCTAGAGTTACTATGGGAAATCATTGTTGTTGTTGTTATGTGCCGTAGAGTTGGTTCCAACTCATAGCGACCCTGTACAGGGTTTCCGAGGCTGTAAATCTTTACAGGAGTAGAAAGCCTCATCTTTCTCCCGCGGAACAGCTGGTAGTTTCGAACTGCTGACGTTGCGGTTCACAGGCCGATTCGTAGCCACTACGCTACCAATGCTCCTATGGGAAATCATTAGGCATACAAAAATCATAGTCCTGATTTGGGTCCTTCTGACATCTTTTTTGTTTCTCAATCTTAAAAAAAATCTTTAAAGGGTATCCATTTTCCTTCAGTTTGTAATCTACAAAAGACTATACGGACATGGTTAAATTTCCAGGACCCTCAGTTCTTCAGGAATGGACTACATGGCTGCTATCATTACTTACAACATTGTCTTGACTTTGATGGAGCTTATATTGACAAATAAAGTTTGTTTATCTTATAAGTCCATTTTCCATGAACTTTTTAAAGTACCCTTGTTTAAATACGTTGGCTGTTACATATGGCAAATGCTTTATACTAATTAATGACATTAAATACAGTGAGAAGAATATTTGTAATTATACTTGAAATGAAGTCTAGAAAGATACCGATTCTGAGAACCATACCTGCTGATTCTGATAGGCAGTGACGGTTGTAAAGACAGTTTCTGGAAAGGAGAATGCCTTCACTCCTTCTCCGGATGGTACAGGCTTGATGGGAGAAAGATCATCTCCACAGTCTTTACGGATGACGTGCACTCGCGGTTGGTATTTGTGCATAGAGTGAAGAATTATCTATTTCAAGAAAGAAAAGCCAATTGATCAGAGACCTCTGTCCTATCCTGACACTTTGAATAAATATCTACTATGTCAAGTAAATAAAGGTGTGAAATTTAAATTTTCAAGTATGTAGAAGAGCTAATGTAAGAAACTCTATCAAAATTGGAATAAAACAGCTGAGAAATCATCTGTAAAATGTGCATTAAAATACAACATAAAAAGAAATTATTTTGGTGAAATCCTATGCACAATAATATGAATTTAACATCAAATTTTCTAAAAAAACACAAGAATAAATTCAGAAATGTTTTATTTATGAGTGGATAGAACACAAAGCTCAAACCAATTTAAACTAATAATGAGATTTAAATCTTTCGATTTCACAGCACTCAGCCCCTAAAATGAAGTATTTGTACTCCAGGTGTTGTTCTGATGCTTCCTCCATTGGTCACTACTACATGCCCATTCAAAGAAAAAGGGACTTTTAAAGACATTCCAGTTTTTTGCCTTGTGTGTCTGGGTTGAAATATTTTCACTTGCAAAGTCTCTAGTTTGCTTGGATCGTTTGGTGTCAAAGCCTTAACAGATGACCAGCGACAAAAAAGGTGGTGCTTTCACACTTTGCTGGGGGACTCTGACAACATGATTGGTCAACTACCTTGAAACTCTTTACAGCCTTCTACCCAATGATTCCTTTTCTGAAAAATTTATCCTAAGGAAATATTTCAAATTCAGAACAGCTTTTCATGGCAAAGATGTACAACAAAAAACAGTCACACCATTATTTAAAATAACTTAAATCATCATTAACAGAGTAGCTACGTAAATGAAAACATATCCACACAATGGGATACAGTATTATTCAACCATTGCTAACAGTGTTTAGAAAAATTTTAACATAGTGAAATGTTTCTTTTTAAATGCTAACTTTGGAAAAAAGGGTCAAAATTGTTTATGTTTATCACAACTACATAAAAATGGGGTAAAAAGGCCCATACAAAGATATAAACTGTAAAAATCTCTGAGTGGTAGAATTCTGGATAAATATTTTCTCCTTCTTGCATGTTCTATGCTTTCAAAAGTCAGCGAGTAAGGTCCTGGTGTGGCGCTGTGGGTTAACACACTGGACTGCAAGGTTGTCAGTTCAAGCTCACCAGCCATTCTTCGGTAACCCTGTACAGGGCCGCTATGAGTTGGAAGCAACTTGACAGCACTTTACAACAACAACAGGGTAAAGAAACAGCCTCCTCCGGTGGGATTTTCTATTTGCTGCTGGGATTCCATGTTCAGGTATATATTAATGAGTTTAGTCAACAAGTCTATATCTTTTCTGATGCAGGTGTGAATTTAGGTTTTTGAGTTTGGAGGAGAAATCTTTAAACAAATCTTGGGAAAACACAGTGTCTAACCTACTTCATGATTTTCAAGCTGTAAGCAGTTTTAATAAATGAAATTTAGAATCTCTGGTCACCCCAAACATAAGTAGTCCTAGAACTCGAAAGTGTCTTAGCTGCCGCACGGTATCTTTACCCTCTGGTAAAAGTGCTGCGGTCAGATTTTTTATTTTGTTTTTTGTTTGTTTGTTGACATGTTGTCACCCTAAAGTTTTTCTTTTGACTACAAAAAATGTCTGGTTAGTGGAGCTGGTGATCATGCTCATCAGGTGTACGTGGTGGGGTGACAGTCTGAATATGAGTAAACATTAGATCTCATCATCACATGAATGCACACACTCATACATACGGCACAAATCTGCAGCTTCTGGAAATTTTCTTTCTTCTCTTTCCAAGTGTAAGAAAAGGGAAGAATTTCAACAATAATCAAGTTAGAAGATTGCAACAGACATTTTTAAATACAAGGGAGCTTCAAAAAGTTCATGGATAAATTCCTTTGTCTTTCAATTCCATTTTCCCATGAAATTTTTGAAGCCTCCTCATGCTGGAAACACCTGGGTTACAAATATCCAACTGAAGGAAACTCCTAGCTCCTATTTGCCCTTTAATGTGGACCTTTGATTCAGTTCTGTTCTGACATGGTTAATGAAGCAAAACAGCAACAGACTTGAATTTTTAAAAATTTTTATATATGAGTGGAAAATGGTAACATGAACGTGAAAAATTACCAGTGGAAGCCTTTGAAGAGTGGCAAAGTGAGTCCTCTGATGCATGAGATTAGATTACTGGCAGGACTGGAGAGCCACACACAGTAAAAGTGGCATCTTCAGCCTCCACCTTTGAGCAGAGCAACTTTGAAGCACTACTTAATGTTATGTAAATTTACCCTCACTTTGAAAACAATTGAGGCAACTCCGCTTGCAACAACAGATTTTAAATTACTGAAAAAGGCTCTGAGCCTTTTCTTGCACTAAAGTAAGAAGACTGTACCTGTTCTGACTCACCTACAAACTCTTACACAGTTAGGAATGAATCGATCTCATTCATAACCAGGGGTTGCCTATCAATACAATTATTAAATAATATGGAGTAGAATATAAGATTAGAGTGTGTATGCATGCCTGTGTTTGAGGAGGCCACAATGATACACACACACATACATACTAGATCATAACATAAAATATATGTCTTGCTGTGAAATAGTTCAAAAGTTTGAAAAACACAGGATGTAATTCTAATGATTTTAATGATCTGCATATACGATGTTTTTATTTTATTTTCCTCAGTAAAGTATCTGTTATGGGTTGAATTATGTCCCCCCAAAATGTGTGTTGTAAATCCTAACCTCTCTGTTTATGGTTATAATCTCATTTTAATGCATTGTCTTTCTGTTAATGAGAGGATTCTTGTAGAGTTCATCTTAAGTCAAATTCTTTTGAGATATAAAAGCGATCCAAGCAGAGCAGGGATGCCAAGCCACATGAAGATCACAGGGAGTCAGAAAAGACAAGAACCTTCCTCTAGAAACAACAGGGAGAAAATCTTCCCATAGATTTGGCACCCTGAATTTAGACTTCGAAACTCCTAAACTATGAGAAAATTACCTTCTGTTTGTTAAAACCACTTAATTGTGGTAATTTCTACTATAGCAGCACTAGATAAGTAAGACAGTATCTGAGTATTATTATTATTATATATTATATTATATTATATAGTATTATTATGTCCACTAATCCTCATTTGAAAAGCTATAATAGAAATCTAAATTAGAAGACCAATATTCCAGCAGGGCTGGAAGGTATTTAGGAGGCATTTGGACCCAGTAATTATTATTTTTTCAGTAATGATTGGTTAAGTGTTGTTTACTTTGTTTTAATCATAGCAACCCTGTATAGGGTTTACTAGGGGCAGCTGGTGCTTATCCTATAGTGCAACACCTAGCCCAGAGTTGTGTTAGGATAAACTGGGTCTGTTTCTTACCATCCAAATAAAACAGCTCCTCTTTCCTACTTTATATGTAGGGTTCTGGTTGACATTATATTTGACATTTTAGAATATAAAAATAAACGCTAATACCTCTAACTTATAGATTGCTTTAAAGGGGCAGTATACATCTAAATCTTTAGGGTTGGAGTTGGAAGACATGTCAGGTTCCCTGGTCTAAGGCTTCTTATCCCACCACTATGTTTATGTGTTTTCACTCACTGAATTTATGTTACACTGGCAGATCCAATGCAAGAAAAACAAAGATCTTCTCAGCTGTGGGTCAGGTAACTAGGATCAATGGGCATTTGTTTCATTCACCATCTGACTCTGATATAATTGTCCTTTTCCTTCAAATAATTTTTTATTATAAGTTTTTACCCTAAAATAATATTTTAAAATGTGAACAGAATACATCAAATGATTTCTGTATTAATATGTATTAATAAGCACTAGACTACAAGGTCAGTTTGAACCTTTAAGTCAGTGGTTCAAACTCACCAGCCTCTCCTTGGAAACCCTACACAGGGTCACTATGAGTCAAAACTGACTCAAAGGCGCTTGGCAACAACAAATAACTACCAATGTTAACTCTGCCTTTTTCTGCACCCTCTTCACTTAACTAATCTTTCTCCGATAACTGATATATTCTTGGAAGGAGGAATTAAAAGGGAAACTACCTATTCTCCAAACTAAAAATAAAATACCAGTTATAAGCAAATAAAAACAAACAAAATGAAAGCATTTCTACAATTATAGGGATAATTAATTAGCATACCTTTTAGAAACAAATTTCAGAGAAAAGTAAAACTGGGCTGAAGCTACTTAAAATTAAACAAATACACACAGAAAAAGTATGGCCAATTCTAGAAGATTGGAGTTGTTATTATCTGACTTGGAATGAAGGAAACAAAAGTTCATTTGGATTTCTATTTACTAGTCAATGAAAAGCAGACTTTTGTTTTATGATGTCTTGGTTTTCTCAAGCAGGTTTTTCTATAGAGCTATAAACATTTTAAATTCATTTGTTTACATATATGGCTTATTTTGGAGTTTTGTTGTGGCACTGTGGGTTAAAGTGCTGGACTGCAAAATCTGTTTGAATTGCAATGTTGGCGGTTCAAACTCACCAGCCACAACTCAGAAACCCTATACAGGGTCGTTATGGATTGGAACTGACTCAACAGCACATGTCTTATTTTGGAGTCCTGGAATGATGCTGCAGAATAATGAGCTAGACCACAAGGTCAGTTTGAACATCAAGGTCAGTGGTTCAAACCGACCAGCCACTCCTCAGAAACCCTATACCGAGTCATTATGCGTGGGAACAGATTCAACAGCACTTAACAACAACAACATGCCTTATTTTTAAAAATGACCTGAGGTGGGGTTACAGTGAGGTGGGATACAGACATAGCTGATACAGTGGCTTCAAAAGGTTAGTAGAAAAATGGATTTAAAAGATAATGAAATTTTTTTACACACTTTTTAAAGCCCCCTCATATATGCCTACAGTACATTACTAATCTGATAATAATTGTCAATATTATCTATAGGAATTTGCTAAATCCTTATAAATTTGGAGGGAATGTTAAACAAGCTTCAGTTCTTCTTTATTAGCTAGCATTATAGGCTTTT